GACAAAGCAGCTTGGCCCCAGCCCCCACAGGCTTGCCTTCCTAGAGGTGCACTGCCTGCACAGGAAACCCAAGAAGTTTCTAGGGACCTAGAAATAAGCTTTTAACTTCATTGGAATGGACAGTCACCCAGAAACATGTGCCATCCAACTTGGCATGTGCTTTTCTGGCCTCCTCTGCCCAGGGGACGATAATCCCCTGGTTCCATTCTCTGTAGCCCCTTTGGACTTGACTGATAAAGGAGAGGGACTATCCTATGCCTACAGGTGCAATTTCAGTCTCATTGCCTCCCACCCCAGGCCTCTGTGTCTTTCCTGGACTTCCTTTTCTGTACAACTGGCTTAAGAGCTTTGAATCACATGGCCAGTGCTTTTTGTCAGCCCTTCCTGAGACTTTGAAAGGTTGGGCAATAGTGTCCTGGGTGGCCCTAACCAACAACATCCAACAACTCTGGCTCTGTTTTGGCACAGACTAGACTCTTCTGCTGGTAAGAGAGGACTGGTGTAATGGGGGCCTTTGCTGGGGATGTCAGCTTATTGTGGTGTAGGAGCCTCAGCCCAGGAGCTTTGACACGCTCCTGCCTTAGCTTGAATACCCACAAGCAGGATTTTCCACAGCAGAGATCAGGTGGCAGGAAAAGGCTAGGTGGGGAGCTGTTCTTTCTCTAAGGATGCTGGTTCAGTTAGTGTACAAAACAGTGGGAATGAATATGCACAAAGTTTATTCCTCCTTCACTTATCCACAGGTCCAACCCACACCACTGGGCTTAATGCACACCATGTCTGTGCCACTGCAGGGGACCAGACAACAATAGGGCAGGTCCCACGTGCAAGGGCTGGGGGTGGAACGTTTCTTGTCTGGGATGTTAGAACCTAAGGTCCCATTCACCCATGTCCCTTAACATCCATTCTTTCCCAAGAAGGCTCAGTCACTTACCTAAGGGAGGGTCCAGCCTGAGGAGCTTCACAAGGATGCCTCTAATCCTGGCCCTTCTGGAAATCCATACGCAACAAAATGAAATTAAACCCCTATCTCTCACCATGCACAAAACTCAACTCAAAGTGGATCAAGGACCTAGGAATTAAACCAGAGACCTTGAGTCTAAAAATTAAAAAGTAGGCCCTAATCTTCATCATGTAGGATTAGGCCCCAACTTCCTTAATAAGACTCCTATAATGCAAGAATTAAGATCAACAATCAATAAATGGGATGGATTCAAACTAAAATGTTTCTTCTCAGAAAAAGAAACAATCTGTGAGTTGAATAGAAAGCCTACATCTTGGAGCAAATTTTTACCCCTCACATATCAGATAGAGCACTAATCTCTAGGGTATATAAAAAGACCTCAAAAAGGTAAACACCAAAAGTACAAATAATCCTGACCCTTCTCTCCTGCCCACTTCCTAGCTAAGCAGCACCCTGACCTCCCACATGGTCTATAGCATCCAACAGAGGCCCCGCAGAAAGGCCCTGAGGGGCTCTATCATAAGCCTTCTGTGTCCTGTGGCAGGAGCCAAAGATCTCCCTGTCATCTAGTGTATTCAGCACTAAATAGACCGGACAATGTGCTTGGAAGCCATCTATCAAGGGAAACAAGTTGAAATCTACCCAGAAATTCTCCATAAGCACCTTCTCTGGGTCAGGCTCGACCAGACCAGGAGACTCACACAACATGGCAGCAACACAAGAATACATGCCCTAGGATGCTATGAGAGCAAATACAGGGCCTACCCATGTGCCCACCCAAGGAGAGGGCAGCAATTGCTAAGAACAAAATGGCCTGAACTTCTCACATGGAAACCCAAGATTTCAAGTCAGTGAAAAGAGCAAGCTGCCGAAGAACACACATTATGACATATTCACATATGCACACATACATGTTTTCAGAAACAGAACAGTTGTGCTCTCACTGAAGCACCTCTAAGAAGGGCACAGTGCTTGAGGTGGGCAAACAAAGGGGTGTAGCTCCTCTATGTATCTGTCTGTAGTGACAACATGGTCCTATATGACTCAACACAATTTTCAAAAATTGTCACTAAAAATATAATAGGAAGGTTTCCCACCTTCTGTTGGGATAGATGAGGGGGCTGCCTAAATAGTTGGGTGAATGGCACTGAGGCTGGGAAGCATGAATGGTCCAGGTCAGTGGGCCTGGAAGAATGGCAGGCCAGGGCATGTGGTAACCCTGCCCCTCAACCTCTACCTACCTCCTTTTAAGGAGGAAATCTCCTTAAAAGAGCTGGTCCCCACTACCTCACTTTTGCCTTCCCCAGAACAAAGCAGTAAACCCCATTGCACACTGGAGGGAAGGTGGGCCAGCTAGCTCACCCTGACCTACAGCTGGCCTTGAGCTTTTAGAAGTGGACTTGGGAAATCTTAGTGGGTCCAAAGACAATTACTGAGCCTTGAAGGATGTCCTCAGACACAGGAAATAAAGGACCACTGTGAGATGGGATTCCAGAGCTCTATCTGTCAAGAGACATGGTTTTGTCCCAGTAGTGTCTGAGGGCTGTCCTATATATTCCTCCATCAACATGTTAGTAAACAGTTTCCTCACACCTAGAAAAAGACATTGTACAGAATTGTGTGCTGACTGCTCAAGGTCTGCCCAGCACTTCCTGCCATGCTGGGCACCAGGCTAAAAAAGCAGATGGGGCTGGGAGGGATGCTGAGGGTAGTAAAAACAGCAGGTTGCTGGAAGAACAAGCAGCTGACCCAGAAGAGGGAAAAACCACTCAAAACACCAGTCCAGCTTTCTACAGAGGCTTCTGGCTGACACAACCTCTAAATGTGTTTCTGTAGGACTCATTTTCTAGAAGTTCTCAGAAACTATGAGGGAACTTGCCAGGAGTAAGCCTAGTGGGAATGGGGCCTGGAGCACAGGGCCCCAGCTCAGATGTGCTCCATTTGACCCAGTACCTGAGGTACCAGTTTCCTTAACTTCAGCATTAGAAAGGCTGAGTGCCTCACCCATGAGGCAGGCATGAAGGCTGGGCCTCTCCTTCCAATATTTCTGCACTGTCTTTAAGGGCAAAGCACCAATAGTAGAGGAGGAAAGGAAACCATTTTCTCGAGTACCTACCATGTGCCAGATTCTGGATTAGGAATACCACCTCATCATTTAACTTGGTTCCTACAGTTACTCTTCAAGGAGAGGCAAGGTAATGGAAACCCACTTTAAAAGGTAAGTAAACCCAAGAGCTCATGGTAATTAAAAAATTTGCTTGGTCTATCAACTGCAGAAAAATGTTACCAAATGGGCACACTTCATTATATCAAATAAAAAAGAACCAATAATCCAACAGACAAATGAACATGAGTAGAACTAAACAGAAGTTAAAACTTAACATGATATCATCATCGTCAATCTCACTCATAATACATGAAACACGATAGATAGCATTTCCATCTACTTAGGAGCAAATATTTCCAAGTCGGTAATATAGAACTGATGAGGTCTGAAAACGTGAGTCTAAAAGGAAAGTGGGCCAGTTCTTTGGAGAGTGGTTATCTACTTTAAAGGTACCATACCCTTTGTCCTAGGAATTTGATTTCAGTATTTATCCTATAAATGGGCTCCCACAAATGTAAAATTAGGTGTACATTAAAACATTATAGAAACAAAAGACTGAAAATAATGTAAATACCCATCAATAGGGAATAGGCAGATAAACTATAGGGCATTCATATTTTGAGAGTCCTGTGCAGTTATTAAAAAGACTGAGCAGGCTAGACATATAGCTCAGTGGAAAAGAATTTGCTTAGGCCCTGAGTTTGATCCTCAGCATCTCAATCAATGAATAGAATGAGCAAGTGCTAAACACTCTCCAAGACATGCTCTTCAATGAAAAAAACAGAGGGAGGGCACAAATATGTACTTTTACTTCTTTAAAATGCAAACTAGCTTACAAAAGGCAGATGTCCTCTGGAAGGACACACATGGGACAAAGAACAGTAAACTCCTGTGGGGTATGGCTATGGCCTGGGCATGTGGGTGAGAGCATACTTCTTTTTCATGGCAAACTCCTTTGTACCATGTTGCTTGATTACCAAAGACAGCTACTATTTGTATATAATACCAAAAGAAAGAGGTGCACAGATATAGGACTCCCAGGTTCTGGAGTACCAACCAGACTCAGAAGGTCACAGTCTGAGACCTAGCCAGATGGGACCTGAGAACCAACTTCTGTCATATTCTGAGAACTGCCCTTCTTAGCTCCAATTCAGGCTGACTCCATTTTTCAGTTTCTCTATGAATATTGGAAAACCAGGGAAAAATACATAAGAAACAAAGGTGAGAGGGACTGTGTGACTTATCAAAGCCACTCAGCTGGGATCTGGCCATGCTAGGAAGGGTGGTGGAGGATGCATGTGGAGTTGGAGGTAGAGGAGTGAGGGGCCAGTTGTCTGTGAAAGGCAGAACAAATGATGAAGGGTTTGGCTTGGCAGGGTATCAAGGAAGACAGATGTGGGCTTTTGGGATGGGAGGCAGACAGGCCTGGGCAGTGGGCCATTCTTGCCTAAGGAGTGGGTTTCCACTCCACATGGAATGTCAAAGCTAAAAGGGTACTGAAAGCCCAGCATTGGGCAAACTTATTTTCTAAGCAGTAGAGTCACCTGTAGTCAGAATCTCTTGGTGCCCAAGACTACAAAGTGGGAGGTGGAACTGCTCCAGAGGGAGCAGGACTGTGACCTAAAGCTCTTCTCACCACTGCCCGCCTTATTCTCTGGGACTCCAGAGAACACACCAGGGTCACCCATTCCGCTCTCACTGCAGACAGCAAACCAGTGCACAGAGGGACAGTGATTTGCCAGAAGTCGCTCAGCAATCATCCCCATGCCTGAGTCTGGTGCACTCTCACCTGCGCCACCCTGCTTGTCCTCTGAAGGTGCTGCAAATCTGTAGCCCTGGGAATGCCCGCCCAGAGGGTTGATTCATGTGCCTTCAATAAAAAGCAGTGGCAGCAAGAAGCCTCAGAAATCAACAAGGCAAAGTACTCACATTGAAGAAATTGGTCTTGTTCCTCTCACAGAAGAGCCCCTGTGCCGGCATGTGCTGCAGTTGTTGCCATGGGATACTGCTGCCTAGCAACACATCTCGGGCCCACTGGAGGTTCTGGGGAAACAAGAAGTAGGTTGGAAAGGAGTGTGTGGGCTGTTCAGGGCGCCCACGGGGAAGGCAGGCAGTCCGCTCCTTCCTGGCTGCACTAGCAAACTGAGATGAGCAGCAGTTCTGCAGACATCGATCCCACAGCTCCAGGCAGTTCTGGCCATGGGCTTTGACCACTGAGCTATGGAATGTATCTCCAGAACTGATTTCTTATCTAGTAGAGGTGGCTGAGAGGAGAAGTGTGGCCTCAGATTGCTCAAAATGGGCACAGAGGGACTTCTCCCTTTAACCAACCCTGAAAACCTGCCACGTGGACCCAGTACCCATTTGCTATTGGGGGGACCTCCTACTACCCCCAAAAGCAGCTCTGACTTGTTTATCTGAAACCCCTACTCACAGCCAGAAATAAAGCTGCCTTAGACTCAAAGGGCTGGCAATAGTGCTCAGGCCCAAGATCCCTGGGCAATGGTGCCTCTGGTGAAGCTGGGGACAGGGAGAGAGGATGGGCATGGACCTGGCTTCCTCAAACTTTCTCTGGGGCCTTTTTACCAGCCTTGAGAGGAATCCTTTCTTACCAGCTTCCTAGCTAGCATCCTTCCCTCTATGTTCTGTACCACAGTGTGCTTAAATAGTGAGAACTAGAACCCTGGCCATACATCCCACCATAGGGCAGTGCTACCTATCCTACAGGGGAGGTACTGCAGGGAGCACAGCTGGGCCTGGATCCCCTATCCTTTCTATCATACCCACTCTCTCAGGCCAATCAGTCCTCTCCTCCCCGTTAGGCCCCTTGCTTATCTTTCCTAGCACTGGGCCTACACTTTCATCACCTCATATTCCATCTGTTCCCAACACCCTCTTCATTTCTTGGCCTACAAGCCTGTACTGGCCAGGCTGAACTTACTGTTATCTCCATCTTTAGGTTAAGAAAAGTACAAATCCAGACTCTTGGCTTGCTGGTTGTGAGGCCCATGCTTGCTAGCCTCTCAGCTTCTGAAACAGAGGGCCATGCCCAGCAGGCTGTTCCCTAACATCAGGTAGGACCTACAGCTGTATGGAGGTGGGCCACACAAGAATGAAGGCCCCCCTTGGTATGCCTGAGGTAAGGTCCCAGGTATACATCTCCTGGATGATATATTCATGGCAGAAAAAAAAAATTGGCTCTTCCAAGGAAGTCTGAGGGAGAGAGCCACCTCCCTGTTCCCCTATTAGATGGTCCTCTAGTCCCACTTGCCTCTGCTCCCACTTGAGTCCCTACAGGTCATCCCTCAGCCTGGTGCCATCTTGCCTGACCCCCACCCAGCCTCCCACAATACTGTCCCCACAGCATCACTGCCACCTTGTGCAGTGGCACTGACAGGTTTGCTGTCAACCCCATGAGGAGAGGGCCATGGACTGACTTGTTCACTAGTGGCTCCTCAAAGGGTTAGCTATCAGTTTAGAGCCCACAGAGGGGATGCAATAGATATTTGTGGGGAGCATGAAACGAAGATGAGCAGGTTTCATGCTTTCAGAAAACGGAAAAGAAATCTGGATGCAGTGATATATGGCTGTAATCCCACAGACTTGGAAGGCTGAGGTAAGAAGATCATAAGTCAAGGTCAGTTTGGGCAGTGTAGTGAGATCTTGTCTCAAAAATAAAAAGGGATGGCGATGTAGTTCAGGGGTAAAGCATGCCTGGGTGCCATTCCCAGTAATAAATAAATAAATTAAAAACAAACAAACAAATAAAATGGGAAAGAAGAAGGCATCAGGCCGAGGGAACAATCTGAGGCTCAAAGGCAGGAAAGGGCCAGCAGTAGATCAGGGAAGGAGAGGACTACATATTATGTGCCTAGAAAGAGGCTGGAAACCTTCCATAAACTAAGTTTCTGAAACAAGGAAGAAACGTGTCAAGTGAGACAACAGGGGGCCAGAGGGCATGAGTAGGGCAGCCTAGGCCCCACCCAAAGCCAGCATTGGGCTTCCCCTAGTGAGACAGTCCATGACTGCAGGGTTTACTTCAACTGTCTGCTTACTAACATGTACCACCCTACCATTAATTGTCTCAATACGTTACCCATTGGGCTAACTGCCAGAGTTCTTGGGAGCCCCTGAGGATTTCCTTTCATACAGGACATCAAGGCTTAGAGCAGGGTAGCCTATGTCCTTAACTATACCAAGAGTTCTACATGAAGTAGTGATTTAGCAATGTTTGCTAATGGCAGGAAACAGGAGAACTGGGCTACTGTCCTTGGGGTGTGAGAAATAGAAAGTTTGGTGGTCTATTTTCAGAATATAGTATTTTAGCCTTAATTGGGATGTAAGAGCCAATCATAGCCATTTTGAGATCCAACTATAGCCACTGTAACTTATAGCCCTTCCCTTAGCCCACCCCAATTTTAAAATTAGCCAATTGTATAGATTGTAACCCCAAGCTCCTCCTTTCAGAGCAAGGGACAGTGCTGCCTTGGGGATAAAAACAGGTGGACTGCCCACCCAAGTGGGCAGAAGTAAAATTCGCCTTGTTAAGCTACTTCTGAGCAGATGTTTGATTCCCTGCAATACCCTGGTATCTCTAATAGGGGGTCACCTATAGTCCTACCATGTAGGTGGTTCTGATAATGTGCTCTGCCTGTGTTTCTGCTCCCAGGAGCTCTCCCTCTGCTACAACCAATCACAGTGGTTCACTCACTGCTTAATGACCTCTTCTCTCACAAATCTATGAAAGACAGAGTGGGGCTCATAAGGGCCGGGTTCCATGACCCCTACATGGTGATACCAAGTGTGGGAACTACCTGGCATGCTTCTGGGAGGAGGACCAGTTTCTCTGTGAGACAGATGGGACTCTGCAGAGTGGCCTTCTGCCTAGCATGTGTGATGGCAGGCTCAGCTCTTTACTTGGTTATATCTCAGGAGTTGGTCTGAAGAAAGGGATGGGGTTCAGGGGTTCCAAGACAATTAGAGGAATCAGGAATGGGTAGAAGTCCTGGCTTTAGCCTGTGGAGCCACCGCTGCCCTGGTTTCCCCAGGCTAAGGGGAATTGGTTGGAGCTTACAGAGTGCAGAGCTGCATGAGCCAGGAGACTCTGGGGAACTCTGATGGAGCTGGGGACATTCACAAAGCTGAGGATACATCCTCACATGAATTCACCCAGCAAAATGCAGGACACCTCCATGCCCATCAGTAACTACATGAGGGTAAGAACAGAAGGATACATATATCCCAATCCCAGACCTGGTGGATTGATCCTTTTAATCATTGGAAAAAAAAGGTGATTAGACTTTACATGTTTGGAAAAAGCTAAACGTAAGAAATTGGAATACACTGATTGGCAAGGCTCTCTAAATTGACCCTTCACTGTCTTCACAGCAGCTCAAATATCTTTCACTATATATATATATAAGCTACATGACACCTCTGTTGCAATGGCTTGAAGTTCACTTGGAATGACGTCTCCACAATTCATCCTGCCTAACTAGGCCCCAGCAGGCCTCTGACCACACCCTCTTCCCCCTCCTTCTTGCCTATTACTTCCCACCAGACCCATTTCTATATCAAGGCAGGCATGCTGGCTGTGCCATCCACCTGGCAGCCTCTGCCCTGATGACCCATGGCTGTCAGGTCTCCATCAGGTAATTCAGGTCTTTGCTTAGATAGGTCTTCTTTGACCTCCCTGACTCAATAGCCAAACTTCCTCCTCCATCTCCTTATCCACTTTATTTTTCTTCCTAGACTCATCACTAGCTGCCAGTAGGCATGTTTTTCTTCTCTGCTGTCCTCCAGGTGCATACTGGCCTTTGGCAACTCTGCCCCAGGCAGGGAGTTCTCAGAAGGCCTGGCAGAAGAGCAAGCAGCCATGGAGATGCTGAGACCCCACCCTAATTAGAAGGGAAGAAAAGCTGTTGGCTGCTTTACCATGGAACCCTACCCTTCACTTTGTTATCACAATAATTCCATATGCATATCACCAGCATTCTCCTGGAACAGAATTTCACTGAGCCTCCAAAAGTTCCCACTATGAAGCCAGGATCTGAACCCCAAAAAAGTGCAGCCTCAGAACCCACATTCTTTCTCTCAAAATCCTTATGAAACAAACCATGCCCTTTCTGAGGCACTGTGAAAGATCTAAGGGGACAGGAGTCAACCATCAGGCCTGAGCAGGCTCTATCTGCTGGGTTCCTCTGAAGACTCAGACTTCTGGCACTCCAGTTGGCCACTGAGCCACAAGACAGCAACCAGAAAATGTCACTGTCAAGCCCACAGGCAAAGTTTTATGAAGAAGTGTGTTGTCTTCAAATATACACAGTGTGAAGTGTTTGTTACCAAATAGCTATGTTTGAAAAGTGGTCATTGCTGCCAGTTAATGGTTTGGAATTAGTCAGCAACAGAAAGAGCTGTGTCACCAGATTTGTGGACAAGCTGCTACCAGCAGAGCTGACACTCAGGCCCTGTCCCCAGGACACAGGCATATCCTGAGTAACAGGATGGTTTTAACTTAGGTATTTAGTGGATCTAGATGCTAATAACCTGCCATTCAAATTGGTGGTGTCAACTGGTGGCAAAGGTCCCTGGATAAAGCTGACAAAGAAGCTAATGGGAGCTGGCCCAGGCAAGCAATCAGGTTCCAGGGCGTGCACTTGATGGCCTGGAGACTACCAGAAACACATCTGGCTATGCCTGGGGTTCTGAGTTGGTAGTGTAGCTATAGAAAGGGAGAATCTGCCACAAAAGGGGTCTATCTCAGAACCAAGGCCAGCATTTCACTTCTAAAAACCAAGGAAACCAACTTAGGAACATAACTAACAGAAGAGTTGGAAGAAACAACTGTGACAACTGTGGGAGTTGCCCAGGGCCACAGGCATCAGTGGGGCAGATAGTTCTAGGCAGCCTCTATCCCTACTAATGGGAATGGCTGGATCTACTGGGTCCATGGACCCATAGATGGTTCACGGACCATCACAGAGTGACCAAAATGACCTGGGGACATATATGAAAAGAGCAAAATGGGAAGACACACTTAAGGTAGACACACTTAACAGAGTGGGGGTAATGGAGCAACTGGGCACTGAGTGAGGCCATCTAGGCCAATATCTGGCTTTGAAACCCAGCCCCATATAACACTGAGCCTGGGTTCCCAGATGTAATGTAAAGGGGATATGATCCCTGCCATATAGGCCCTAAAACAAATAGTGCCTCAAAAGCACACAATCAAAAGTGCATGTGCACAAGAGCCATGAAATAGCTTTTGTTTTAGAGTGGTAGAAGTGTGGTTATCCCCCTTCTATTTTACTTTAATTTGACATAAATACCATTTTCTACTTTGAAAAAACTCATCAAATGAGGAGGACAGGATATAATCACCACAGCCTCTGCCTGGTACTGTGCTGAGCACTTAATGTATATCAGCTCCCTCAGGCTCCAAATAAAGTCCTTTAGCAGGAAGCAGAGGCTGGGTGGCTGGACATCATGGGGCCTGCATCGCAGCTCACCTCTCCTCCCAACAAATCCTGCACTCTCCCCCTCACTTCCACAGGTACTCATCCTTACAAACCATCTTGTTCTCCAAATTCCATTTTATCATCTCCTTTGGGGAAGGTGCCCTGCAACAGCACAGGGAAGAGCTTCAGCACCAGGAAGTGGTTGCGTCTTGTTCAGAGCTGACACCAGCTACATTGGGAAAGTAGGGGAACACCCAATGATGATTGCTAATGTTCCTCTCACTGAGACACAAGAGGGCTCTTGCAGTGGGCTCTGCTATTCCCAAAAGGAACAAGGTAGAAAGTTCCTAAGGCAATGATCACATTGGGGTGGGGATGATGTCTCAGTCCTTGTCCCTCTGGTCTGCAAACTGCTTCATCAGTGAAGATACAAGATGGTTGGAGTTTATTAAAACTCAGGCCATTCTTGATACAGAAGGCCTGGTGTGGAGAGGTAAGGTCCACTGCCATGTGAGGCAGTGGTCCACTGTCAGGCAGTGAGTGGGCCAGGCTCCTATGTGGCATGAGCAGCAGCAACAGGCAGCGGGTAATGGAGAAAGCCATAACATGCTATTATTTGCCAGCACACACTTCACAGAGGCCAAGGCCCTGAGGACAACAAGATCTTTTCCTTCCTCAGGCCTGCTGAGGCCAACTTTAAGGGAAACTGGTCAAGCCCTATGAGCAATCAGTTACTGAGGGGATAAGGCATGTACCCTTTTGGATCTTTGAGCCTAGTCTCCCAAACAGAATTCTGTAAAGTAACCAGTGCTAAGCCAGGGTCTATCTCTCTGGCCAAATGCCTTTCCTGGTTCTTTAAACATCCTACAGAGAAGGTGGAAGGCTTGGGGGGTGGGGGCAACAGTAGGAGACCTCTAGGAGAAAAGCCTGAGTTCAGAGAGCCAAATCTCCCAAGGAGACCCCCACAGGCTTCTCTGCTTGCCTGCCCATTCTAGCTGTCAACCACATATCTACTTTTGGGGGCTGCTGATCCTAGATAGACATTCTCTTTTTCAATTAGCCTGCTGCCACCGGCTACTTACATCACAGGTCTCAGCACAGATGCCTTCACAGATCTACTATACTACCCCCATGCCTGTGTCCTGTTATTTTCTCTGTAATATTGGTCAAAATGCTTTGCTTGCACATTTGAATGTTCTAAATCACTTAGAACGTAGCTACATGGGGCAGGTGCCATGACCAGGTGCACTGTCTCTCCATTACCTCCTGGGTAAGTATGGAGTGAGTGAAGGAAAAAAAGAAGTCACCTCAGTCTCTCCACAAATGCTAAATGCCAATAGAAGAGGTCTGGCTGGGAAGCCCTTGGGGGCACTTAAGCTTGAGGCACAGCTGTTGCTTTCTAAAAGGAGCCAGAGAAGGCTGTCAACACCTAGCCCCCATGAAATAGCCTGAAGACTATTGTGGCAGCTGTGCCTGGGAGGTGAACCCCAGGGAAGGGTGACGGCAAGGAAGCCACTGCAAAAGATAGTTGGAGGGCTGGGGCCTGGGACAAGTTGGTCCTGTCTCTGCAGGGCCATTCCCTCCTCTCCCATCCCTCCCATGAGAGCCACCAGAGCCCTATCACAAAACTCCAATCTGTAAAGGTTCTACCTATCAGCCTTCAAGGATCTGTCTGCCCTGGAAAAAGATCCAAGTCCACTCACCCGGTGGGTCTTGCTGTAGGTATAGAGGAAGGCCAGTCGATAGAGACTCTTGTAGTGCTGGGGGAAGCGGCTCAGACACAGGCGAAAAGAGGCGATGCACTGCTCTGTGAGGAACTGGCGCTGTTCTTCGGCATCAGCTGGGAGCCCCTGGGGGAAGGCCATTGGCTCCCCTGGGGGTTCACCCCTCTTCTTCCCATCCCACAAAGCAGGTGTGGACATTGGGGCCTTGACAGGAATACAACCAGAGGCCAGGGGGTCTATAGCAGGTTTCTGGACTCCATGTTCTGCAGCCCGGAAGCCTTCTGTGCTCTCTGAGGACTCCTCAGTCTTTCCTACAGTTGAGAAGCAAAAGAAAGTCACCCTGGTTTTAGGACCTGCTCATGCAGCAATCTATTAACAGTGGTGGAGGCAACTCAGTGAGGTGACTGGAAGAGTTGGTTCAGTGCCCATGTTGGACCCAGCAGTGGGAGGTGAAGGGCTGAGTGCTGGCTTTGCCACCACTGGTTTAGGCCTCTGTGGCCACATGGTCTCTTGTCCTGTGAAACAGGAGATCCCAGCTGGCATGCAGCAGAAGGGCCCAGAGGCTATAGAGAGCAGGAGTTATAAACTGGAGTCTGATTCCTCCCCACTGAATATTTGGCAGAATAGGCTGTCCCACCTTCAGGGATGGTGTAGGTGCAATAGGAATGTGGCCCAAAGAGGGCAGATGCTATCACCACCACCATCAAATAAAAGAGCCAGGAAAAGTCTCACCAAGTGTCATATCTGTTCCTCTGCTCAGAATCTCAGCCCACAAATCTATTCAATGTCACTCTCCAGACTCCAATGTGAATTGAGTGCTTATACACAGGCCCCAACTTGATGCAAGCCTGGAATGTGACCATCTAGTCCTCCTTCATTAGGGACCTCAGAGTCAGGCAGCCGAAGAAACCCAAGTTGGGTACCAGGATGACAAGAGAGGCTGGGTGGCCTCAAGCTAATAGTCCCTGAGGTGCAGGTTCCTTAGCTACAGATTGAGGAGGCTATCTGGCTCAGGAGAAAATGATGGAAGGAAGTGGGGTGGGGACAAAGGGCAAAGGCCAAAGGGCCTTTGGCTGGTAGTTCCTTTAGCACTGGGAATTTGGCACATCTTGTACAACTTGCCTGGAAGGGGCCAGAGAGTCAGCTGTTGTGGCAGCTGTGCCTGCTACCACTGGTCACCAGTCTGAAGGCAGTCTGCCTTCTGATTGACGCCTCTGACAGTGCTCTATATATTGTAGGTGCGGCACTTGGAGTCTCTTGTATGGGCAAAGACTAAGGTCCTAAGTTCCTTTCATACCAAGTATAAACACAATCAGGTATGTGGCAAGCTTGACGATCACTGCACTTCTTATTGAGACTGTGCTCCCCTCAGCTACCAGCCATTTCAGCTCCCCTGAGACCAGCTACTCAGAATACCTCCTTCAGTATCCCTGCATTTGCCCTGTCATTCTTTTTCCTGGAACACTGCCTTCTTCTCTACACTTCCTCACCCATTTACTTGTATCTCTCAGTACCCTACTTGGTGTGGCCTCTCTTAGGCTTCCCCACCTCAGGATAGAGTTTGCAGAGTGATGGCATAAAAACATCTTCCCTCCCCAGTGGCCCAGAGCCTAACTGAGACCTACTCTCTTTCACCATATGAAGCAGACTGAATGACTGAATACCAGGAAGTCCTATTTGGTCTAGATGCTATAATCTCTCATGTGGGCTCAGGACGCTACTTAGGTCCCACAGCTTAAGGCTGGCATCATCTTGCAGGGGATACTGGCATTTTACATAAAAGTGTGCCAGGTTTCCAGTATGTTTGAAATGTGGCTCAACATACACTGTAAGAGTAATGGCTCTGGGCCTAGCCCTGAGGCCCCAAGGAAATAGAAAAATTGGATGATGATGCAGAGCACCCAGGGGCTCAAAAAAAGGCACTAAGTTCTCAAACACAAAGACACAAGAATACAGTTTTTATTAAAAAAGAAAAAGAAAAAAAAAAGTAGGCAGAGGGCAAGAATTAAACCAAACAGAATGCAGAACACATATCTGAAGATACACGAGAAACAAAGAAAAGAGCAATCTCAAAGGGAGATAAAATTTGAGGAGAAATGAGGCAGTTGCCTCATCCACAGCCTCTATTTCCCACTGCTGAATAAGCCTCACAGGTCAACAGAATTCTCCATTTATTTGATGAAAGGAAGAGGGTCAGAAAAGTTAACAAGGCCACAAAATGCTTCCTAATCAGGAGGTTTAGTGCTAACCCTAGCTGCAAGAAGCTGGGAAGACTTCTTCCTCTCAATAGAAAGCAAGAGAAATGCATCCTTTGGCCACCTAGTCTTGGGTGGGATCTGTTGCTGACAAGAACAGTCAACAACATTATATAGGTGCCAAGGCCACCAGAACACAGGACCCCCACCAGAGTGGAGTAGTGGCTGTATACGGTGGGCTACCTGGGAAGGCTGGAAAGGATCTCTAGTAAAGCTTGTGGGCTGATGTGCATAAACAGCCCCCTGAATTCAGGGTCCTCATTATGGAAAAGCTTGACCTGAGGTGGCTACATGTCTTGTAGAGATACCAACAGCAGAGAAGCCTAAGCCAAAATCTGTCCTAACAGAAAGACCTCAAATTTCTTTCTCCTGACTGCTAAGATCTTCTTATCCAAATTCCACTAGTCTGAGATAAAAGCCCAGTAAGGGTGTTCCCCCACAAAAGGTGAGCAGCCTTCTCCCACATTCAGCACTCCTCACCCTGCCCTGCCCGTGATTTAGGCCTCCATTTGATCAGGAAGGGGGAATATGTGGCTACAGTATGGCAGGTTGTGATGTATACTGCATGGACCACACATGTTTAAATGTGAAATTGTGGGCAATGTTTTCCTCTATTAAAATATAAATCTTTACTGTTGCCATGTTCACATTCTGGACTGGTAAAGAAAGGGTAGAAGCAAGTTATGACCTTGAAATGGTAGGCTTGAAATGAAGTATCTTGCTTCCACAGACATGTTCTTCTCCTCTAAGCCTAGCTTTTCCTGGGAACTGCAGTGGTAAAATTGATCAACTTCTTCTTTTAGAATAGTTGATGTACCAAGGAATGCATTGAGTCTGTACCCAGCAGACAGCCAGACAGTACCTAGTGCTGAATGCACTATATTTTTTATTAAAAAAAATAAAAACTCTGATCCTTGCAAAGATGAGCTTCAGCTAGCTGCAGCAGTCATCTTTGCAAAGCCTCCTTCCTCAAGCATTCTGGTACAGACCAGTGTGGAGGATAGCTCATATCCACAGGACACAGTAGGAAGAAGTGCAGCTCAGAGCCAGGCAAGGTATGTTTGGCAGCTCTTTCCTGCTTCCCTCAGCACTGAGTGCCTGGTACAGACCTGTACCTGTTACATCCTGTTACTCAATAATGGACACAAAATATGTAAGCAAGGGCCTGTGCCCTACTACATGGGCCATGAAGGAAGCAGCAGGTTGCCTATGAGGGCATGCTTGGAAGGTGAGGGGTATGTAGGACACTTAGGGCACATGCAGCACTGACCCAAGCTCTGGCTTTTTCAGCGAGGCCAAAAGCTGCTCAAAGGCTGAGGATGCAGCTCAGTGATAGAGAACTTGCCTAGCATGTTTGAGGTTCTTGGTTTGCCTTAACTCTAGAAACAGAGGGACTCAAGCCTAGAGATCATGGTGGCCAGGACTATAGCCCACTAGGAATGCAGGGGAGAGTGTGCCAGAGGCTACCACTGGTCAAGGCCAAGCCTAGAGGAGTACTCAGCACTAGGTACTGTCTGGCTGTCTGCTGGGTACAGACTCAATGCATTCCTTGGTACATCAACTATTCTAAAAGAAGAAGTTGATCAATTTTACCACTGCAGTTCCCAGGAAAAGCTAGGCTTAGAGGAGAAGAACATGTCTGTGGAAGCAAGATACTTCATTTCAAGCCTACCATTTCAAAGTCATAACTCGCTTCTACCCTTTCTTTACCAGCCCCAAACACTGTGGCTTGAACCACTGGAATGGAAGAAGCAGGATGCTCCTTATAAATCTAGAAAGGTCTGGACAAGCTAGAGTGAATCAAAGCCAAAATTCTTGCCTCAATCCCCACTTCACCCCACCAGGACCCTCATCCCACACATGGTAGAGAGAGAGGCTCACAATGACAACAGCATCCATATCAGTTAACTGCTGCATGGGGCACAAGACAGAGATGATCGGTCTTGCTTGTCCAAAAGTAAAAATAATCTGATTTTTAGGATCAGTAATGCTGTATAATAGTGTAGAGATGATAAATTACTTGTTCCTTCCCATTCTAAATTTCCTACAATGTTTTCTGTCAGTTTACAGAGTGTTGATATTGCCTGGGGATAGCAAATAACTATTTAGTGAGAAGGCAGGGCAGTGGCTTCAATTCTGATGGGGAAGGTGCAGGTAAATCCATCTGGCAAGTCAGTCCCCTGATTCCATATCTCTTACCTGATGCTAATCGGGTCACTTTTTCCACCTATAGCGGGTGTGGCCTCACCCCTTCAAAGGCTAGCATGGAGTAGAGAGCTGGATAAGGCCTCACCTCCTGCTCTGTTTCCATTGCCGCCCCTGCAGGTGAGCTCCCAAATCTTAATCTTCCCATCTAGGATCAACACAGTGACTAGGCTATCATCCCCTTGCTCCCTTCCAGTTCACCTGGAGAAGGCAGCACAGGATAGTGGCTAAGCCTGACCTCAGGCAAATGAAAAAATTTTAGATTCTTTTTTTTTTTTTTAATTTTTATTAGTTATTGATGGACCTTTTTTTGTTTATATGTGGTGCTGAGAATTGAACCCAATGCCTCACACATGCTAGGTAAGCACACTACCACTGAGCCACAACCCTAGTCCCCCAAATTTTAGGTTCTTCACCTGTAAAATGGAAACAGTCATACTGCTTTCTTCCTAGGGTGATTAAGAGGACCAAATGAGTTAAAGCAGTGTCTGGCCCAGAACAACCAAGAATAGAGTTGTTGTTGCTATTGTTTGGTAAGCACCTGTATGCCTGGCTCTCGCCAAACTGGGATAGTTTTCAAAAATCCATGGCTGATCAGCTAAAACCTTAGAGTAGCACAAGAAATTCCCTGACCTGCCTGTGGTCTCCCAGCAAGCCCAGAGGTGGGGTTCTGCCCACTGATTTCTACAAAAGGGGTCTGGGGATCCTAAGAGTGCTCGGTATATCCTGGACTTAAATCAGGGCTGTCTGCTGGGTACAGACTCAATGCATTCCTTGGTACATCAACTATTCTAAAAGAAGAAGTTGATCAATTTTACCACTGCAGTTCCCAGGAAAAGCTAGGCTTAGAGGAGAAGAACATGTCTGTGGAAGAACATGTCTGTCTAGAAAAGGAGATTTTTTTTCCTAGAGCCTTGATGTGATTTAGACTAAAAAGAAAACACATTTTTGACATTTAGAATCTAAGGACTTTTTTAAAAATAACCATTTACCAAGGAGGAAAAAAATAGGGCATACTGACATTGTGGACATGGCTTTCCCAGGCTAGGCTGTGGGGGTCATAGTAACAACAACAAATGTCACTGAGCACACATGGTGCACCAGGCTCTGTGCCAGCACCTTCAGGAGCTGCCTTGTTTAATGAGAACCCTGGAAGTGGGCACTGAGATCACTACCATCTTACAGGGAGAACAATGGAGGCCCAGAAAAGTGAGTAATTTGACCAATCAAGGTCCTAGGGCAGTAGCTAGAGGCATAAAGACAGAAGCCAGGCCGGACCCATGGTCTTCAGCACTGCTGAGACTGCCACAGGACACCAAAACAGTTCTAATTTACTGACTTAGGTCTTCATACCTCTTTCATCTGTGGCCCCCTGAAGGTCTTTACCAGTTGGTCCTGTTTGGGCACTGAGCATGGGCAACCTCTTCTCTGCATAGGGTTTCCGGGAGCCTTCCAGTGAGCTGGTGGGCTCGTTAAAGAAGTCCTGCGTTGAGCTGGAGTCTGAGAGCGCCACGGCTGTGCTGTCCTGGCTTCGGTCTGGTGGGGAGAAGGAGGGAGAGAGGGCGGGAGCATGAGTCCACACCACTTCTAACATGGAGAGGCCTCCCCATGGTGAAATCTCCCTGCCGCTCTGGAAACTACCCTGCAAAGGAGATGGCCTGAGCACAGCCACTCTGACCCTGCTGAATCCAAAACATCCCAGAGGCCCCTGAGCCACTCGCCAAAGGCACCAATCTCCATAGTCAACCTTCCTGAGGTTTCCCCAAACAGTGGTAGTTTAGTAAATGTTGTCAACAAGTGGCTCTGAGAAGTAAAAGACTCTGATTTGTAGCATTTACTCATTTGTTTGGTATAAATATTCCCACCATGACCAACTGTAAGCTATCAGTGTGCTATTGGTGAACACGGAGGTGGGAAGAGATGCATAGTAGGCATCATTATATAGTATTTCTATCATATACAGATAATAGAAATAACATGTGGGAAAGAATTAGGCAAATGTTTTTAACCTACTGTTAAAGGCCAGGTAGGGTCTAGAACCAGAGTCTAGATCTCTCAGAGTCACAGACACAAAGGGAGCTTGTACTCATTTCCTGGCTATTCTCCTAGGGTTTCTCTAGGGACTGGTGTGGGAGGAAGACTAGCAGAATGTATATGGGTACGAGTACCCCCTTCTGGGAGTGCAGACTTGGAGGGAGGAGCAGGAGCTGCTGTGGGAAAGATCTGAGTCTGATTTGGACTCTTCTTCTCTAAAGGTCAAAAGCCTCTGGCTGGGGCTGGGGATGTGGCTCAAGTGGTAGCGCGCTCGCCTGGCATGCATGCGACCCGGGTTCGATCCTCAGCACCACATACAAACAAAGATGTTGTGCCCGCCGAAAACTAAAAAATAAATATTAAAAAAAAAAAAAAAAGCCTCTGGCCTTGGAGGAATGGCAGCAAACTTTGTTACTTCATGGTATAGGGGAAAGGCAAAGAAAACCCTCTGCCCTGAAGAAGGGCAGGAAACCTACTAATAGGGGAGGGGCAAATCACTGAGAAAGCCCCACCCTCAAGATGGAGGGACAGAGAGGCTGCTTAAGTCTTGAGGCTGGACCAAGACAACAGAGAGCTATCCTTGCCCCTATCCCACAGTAGCAAGCACTGAGTAGCAAGAGAGCAGGCAAGAGCAGGCAGGGAGATTCTCCCTGAGGTGCACATGAAGTCCTAATGTGGAAGGTGGAACTGGAACATCTAAAAAAAATTTGGGCAAACTAGACCCCACTTTAAGTACAAGGTAACACAAGGGGAATACAAAGCCAGTGGTGCAATTAAGATAACCAAAGCAAAACAACTTCCAAGCCAGCTCAACTTCTTATTAACCTAACTCAACTTCCCCTGATAGCCTAGAAACAGAAGAAGGACCATTTTGAGCATAAATGTTATTTATTTCAGTTTATTTATTCCTTCACCATATCTGGTATTAAATATAAAAATTAAAAGATACCTATACCAAGAAAAAATAAAGAAAAAGAATGAAAAAAAAAGTGTTGCTAGGAGATAAAACAATCAATAGAACCAAACTCAGAGATGATCCAGATGTTAGAATTACCTGATGGGGAATTTAAAATAACTCAGAGTAATATGATTCATAAATATGATTAGTATGTTAAAGGCTATAGTGGAAACCTAAACATCACCCCATGAATTGAGGGAGAATTTTAGGAGTGAGATGGAAATTATAAGCAAGAGTCAAATAAGGACGCTAGGGAAAATAACAACAACAAGAAAAAATGTTAACAGAGAAGACTGCCTTTACCAGACTTCTTAGCAGACTTGACACAACTGTGGAAGGAAAAAGCAAAACTTGAAACTAAGTCAACAGAAATAATCCACACCAAGAGAAAAAGTGGCAGAATGGGTGTTTCAGAAGAGCATATCCAAGAGTATCCAAATGATCTAACCCATTAATTGGGCTCACCATAAGAGATGAGAGAAAAACAGGACTAAAGAAACATTTGAAGACATGACTATAGTGCTTGGCTAGCATGTGCAAGGCCCTGGGTTTAATCCCCAGCCCCACCCCCACCCCTCAACACACCATCAAAAATAATGAAAGACGGGGCTTTGACTGTAGCTCAGCAGCAGAGCGCTTGCCTAGCATGTGTAAGGAACTGGGTTCGATCCTGAGCACCACATAAAAATAAACAAAATAAAGGCATTCTGTCTATCTACAACTACAATTAAAAAACATAATGAAAGACATCAAATTACCAAGAAGTTCAAAGAACACCAAACAGGGAAAAGACCTCCTGCACACATATTAAGAAAAAAAAAAAATCATATCTGTGCTTACTCAAACTGCTGAAAGCCAAAGACAGAAACTCTCAATGACTTCCAGGACCTCATGCATGCCAGTCAAATGCTCTATTACCAAGCCACACCTCTAGCCCTAGACATTACCTTCAAAGTGCAAATAAATAAATAAAAACTCAAAATTCTACATGAAGACGTAAAACTACCACACACCCCAAATGCAGGAGAAACAAAGGCTTTTCTTTAGATGAACAAAAACAGAGGATTTCTTAATGGTAGATCTGAGTTACAAAAAATGTTCAAGGCAGTTCCTGAGATAGAAAAAAATATGAAACCAGACAGAAACTTGGATCTACACAGAGAAACAAAGTTAACCATAAATGGTTAAAGTGACAGTAAATATATAAAAGACCTTTCCTCTTATTTCTAATTTTACTAAAATACCACACCACTTTCTAAACCAAAACAGTAGCAATGTGTAGGCCAGTAGCGTAAGTAAAAGCAAAATGAATGAAAACAGTCTAAAAGATGGGAGGCTCTTACATTGCTCATGAAGTAGTACAGTATCTTTTGAAGGTAGACTATTGTTAGAGATGTATTTTGTTAACCGTAAGGCAAAAGCTATATTTTTTTAAAAAACCCAGATATTAACAAATGAATAATAGAGATAAAATAGAACCATTAAAAAATTAAAGTGCTTTGCCTTGAACTTTTATCTGAAGGTGATGCTCAATGAACTAGGAATCAAAAATTCCTCTTGTGTTACTCACAAGTTGTGAGACCTTGGCCCTGCCTCATCTATAAACTGTAGTCACATATTTCTAAGAGGTCCATGCCATAGGCTTCTGAGGACAAAGGAAGAAAGGTAGAGTCCCAAGACCCTCCAGCTCTATGCTTAGTTACTTTAAAAACTTGATATTGATGTTTTAGCACATACATCTGCTCTGCCCTCTTGGCCCATGTCTCATCGTATATCCAAGAGCTGGGGACAGACATTGTAGGCAGCACAATATAGTTGCAGTCTTTCATAGCTGCCTTTGTAATATTCACTGCTTAGTAACTGATGTGTCATAAGTATCAGTTGGGCTGCTAGAAAAACATGAATAGGGTATGTGAGACCCAAGCTGGGGAGCAGGGATCCAACTAGATAGACCCTCTCTGACTTACACTCAACAAGGTGTTCTATGCTTACTTGTGAAGCCACCTGTGACCCTAAGACTCCATAAACACTGAATGGGAGTTAGGAGCAGGTTTGTCCTGAAAAATTTCAAACCTTTTAAGGGGATCCCTTCCCTTCTCCCTCAGGAGAGGTGGGGAAGCTGTTTTCTGTCCCTATAAAAAGGAAGACCTGACAATAGAGACCCTTTATTCCAGAAGCCATATATGATAATTGCAGGAGCTCCAAACTTGGGGTCTCAGTCCCACACTCAGACATAGGCTGGCTAAACCTGGCTGAATGATTTTGCTGCTTTAAAGTCCCCAATTCATGATTTTTTTTTTTTTTTTTTGGTACTGGGGATTAAACTCAGGGGCACTCAACTACTGAGCCACATCCCAAGCCCTTTTTTGTATTTTATTTAGAGACAAGGTTTTACTGAGTTGCTGAGTGCCTTACAGCTGCTGAGGCTGGCTTGAACTTGCAATCAGCCTCAGCTACTTCAGCCTCCCAAGCCACTGGGATTATAGGCATGTGCCACCTCGCCCGGCCTACGTCATGCTTTTTAACATGATTTTCATGGTCTCCCAACCTCTGCCAGACACATATGGGATTACAACAGGGGTATGGCCTGGTGCCTAGCACACTTGAATGATGGCTCAATGACCCATCCTGTCCTGTAGCATTCTCTCTGGTCCTGACAGTGAGAATACTGATGACTTGGACAACTCTTGAGAGGCCTCAGTTTCCAAAAGATGGGAGAGATCGTGCTCTTGCAGTTGATGTCTCTCTGAACATCAGACCAGGGCCAGCTCTCCGCAGATAGCACAAGACAAGCTGAAGTCACTGCAGGCTAATCAGTACACCCTGCAGCAAGCTCCAGGAAGCAAGCATGGCCAAGATGATCTCACCTACTGGCATGCTGCCCCACGAGCTCGCTGGTCACAAGCTGTTGGGCTCTGGGCCTAAAGGAATAGTCAGTTTGGTGGAACCCCAGCTGTCATCATTTTGAAAACCAAGAACTGGCTTAAGCAAACAGGTATTTAGTCCCAATGTTCTAATAATAATGCACTCTGGGGACTTTTACTCCCTGAGGAGCAATAGCCAATTGAGTGAGTATTCTCCTGAACCTCCTTTTTTTTGCGGGGGAGGGGCTGCTGGGGATTGAACTTAGGGGTGCTTTGCCACGAGTTATATACCTAATCCTTTCTATTTTTGAGACAGGGTCTTGTTAAGATGCTGAGGTTAGCCTTGAACCTATGATCCTCCTGCCTCAGTCTCCTAAGTCACTGATATTATAGGTGTGCACCACCATACCTGGCCTTAGCCTCTTTTAAAATAACAACCATAGCTGGGCATGGTGGCGCATGCCTGTAATTACAGCAGCTCAGGAGGTTGAAGCAGGAGGCTCACAAATTCGAGGGCGGCCTCGGCAATTTAGCAAGATCCTAAGTAATTTAGTGAGACCCTGTCTCAAAATGGGATGTGGTTGGGATGTGGCTCAATGGTAAAGTACCCTGGTAGAATAAAATAAAATAATAACACCCACAGCAGAGAAGCAGGTTTCATGAGAGCTGAGAGACCCAGC